GCACCCAGGGCTCACTGAGGGAGCCCACAAATGCCCACCCTGCAAGAACAGGGCTGTCCTCTGGGAGCTGCTGCTTTGTCTGTCACTCGCCCTACTCTTTAGAGTTCTCAGTACCTATCACATCAAATCCTTCCCCGAAATGTCTGGAACCAACGATGGCTTGCATCTGGGATTTGGGAGGATTTGAGAACATTGGAACCCATATAATGATCTCTTTGAGGCATGGAACCCAAGTCAAAACATGAAGTTCACTTATTTCTTATACACATAACCTGCAGAAAATTTTGAAGATTTATTTGTTTTTAATTGTGTGTGTGTGTGTGTGTGTGTGTGTGTGTGTGTGTGTGTGTGTGCACGTGAGTGCAATGCCAGAGACATCTGATCCCCTGAAGCTGGAGTTAACAGGGAGTTGTGAGCCAACCCACATGGGTGCTGGGAATGGAATTTGGGTCCTCTGCAAGTACAGTGTGTACTCTTAGCCACCGAGCCAGCTCTCCTGGCCCTGCAGTAATTTTGTATGATATTGTCAGGGTGCCTACATTTTTGACCACAACCTGTCACATGAAGTCAGGTGTGGGTTTTCTATTTGTGGAGTCTTATTGGTCCTTAAATGACCTGTCATGTTGGATTTCAGATTTGGGGTCAAGGATGATCAGCTTATCTTGGCCATGATGTAAGATGGGGAAGAAGCGCAATGTGATAATATTTTAAGATGGCAGTGAATTCTACTCCAGAATTGTTTCTTTTGAATCCAGAGCGTAATTAGCATTCCAGGCCACATCTTGTTCCTCAGCTGTTATTATAAAGAGGCATACCCTGCAGCTGCATTTCTAATCCACATCCGTAAAGCAGCAAACTCCTGGAAGCTATTTTAACTGCAGTCTTTGTACAAGAAACAATAATTTACTAAAATTTACATTGGCTCTAATTGCTTTCAAAATACATGTTTGTGTGCATACTGGTGCACATGCGCATGCGTGCACGCGCACACGTGTGTGTACACACACACACACACACACACTCATCCATTGGTCATTTAATCTTCATTTACTCTCAGGGGAATGAAATACTTGTAATAACTTTAAAGACAAGTCAAACCTTATTAATGCTTCCCAAGAACCTTAGAAAATCTTGATAATATTTGGAAGCATTGCTGTCAGGGAGAAAAGCTGGGCAGGTCTTATTAACAGGCACTCCCCTGCCAGCTGCATGTCTCACAAGCATCGACAAAAAAAGCCATGTGTCTGCAATCCCAGTGCTGGGGAGCTAGAGACAAGAGGACCATGGAGGCTTGCTGGAAGCCAGGCTAGTTGATGGGTGAGCTCCAGATCAATGAAAGACCCTATCCCCCCAAATAAAGCAGAGAGTGATAAAGACACCCAACACTGACTGCTAGACTACACACACACAAACATATACAGAAAAAAAATTGTTGTTTTGATTTTTACTTATTTTAGAGTCTCAGAAAACTCTATTGGTTTGGATCCTTCCCAGAAATAAGACTACCTGAGGAAAATTCTAGAAGACTTCAGTGCAGCTTGGACAGTGGGTTATGAATATATGATTAGCTACAGTTCAAAGGAGAAACTTTGATCCAGAAGCCATGCTCCTCAAGGGTGATCTTGTCAGTCAGTAAGGTGCAAGCTCAGGTGAGCCACAAGCTGCTCCCAGCTAGCAGGGGACACTGTTCACTGTCCACCATACACGGACCTGTCTGTGGGTAGAAAGGCCACCACCCGGCGGTCTCGTCTGAATTTTGGAAGACCCAAGGTGATCTATGATGGATATTGGATTTTGCATCAAGTTTTGATTGACTTAAAAAAAAAACCACTCAGCCTCCTTTTTGCTCATAAAATTAATAAGACACTGAAAGGAAGAGAAAGATGAACAAGATCAGCTTCATCTATATGCAAAATCAAAGTATCTAAGTAAAGAAAAAAGATAAGAAGGACCAATAAGGGGCCAGAGAGACGGCGCAATGGTTAAGAACACTGGCTACTCTTGAAGAGGACCTGATATCTTGGTTAGGGTTTCTATTGCTGTGAAGAGACACCACGACTCATGGCAACTCTTATAAAGGAAAATATTTAATTGGAGCTGGCTTACAGTGTCAGAGGTTGAGTCCATTATTGTCATGGAAGGAAGGATGGCAGTGTGCAGGCAGACATGGTGCTGGAGAAGGAGCTGAGAGTTCTATATCTTGATCTGCAGGCAGCAGAAGGAGACTGTGTACCACACTGGGCATAGCTTGAGCATATGAGACCTCAAAGTCCACTCCCACATTGAAACACTTCAACAAGGCCATACCTATTGCAACAAGGCCTCGCCTCCTAATAGTGCCACTCCCTATGGGCCAAGCATTCAAACACTTGAGTCTGTGGGGGCCATTCTTATTCAAACCACCATACCTGGGGTCAGTTTCCAGCACCCACATCAGGTAACTCACAACTACCTGCAACTCCAGCTCCAGGTGAGCTGATACCCTCTGGCTTCTGTAGGTTAGCTTGCATGTGGTACACAAAAACTTACTCACCCCTCCCCCTGCTCACACACAAATAAATAAAAATGAGCAAATCAATCTTTCTTTTAAAAACTTAAGTATTCAAAGTGCAAGCCCATATGTGATTAATAGTGGTCTAAGAAGGTTCTAGAGAAGGAGTAAGAACAAGAGCTTAGGTTAGAGCAGTGGTTCTCAACCTTCCCAATGCTACCACCCTTTAATACAGTTCCTCATGTTGTGGTGACCCCCAACCATAAAATTATTTTTGTTGCTACCTCATAACTGTCATTTTGCTACTTTTAGGAATAGTAATATAAACATCTGCATTTTCCGATGACCTTAGGTGACTGCTGTGAAAGGGCCATTTAACACTCCCAAAGGGGTTGTGACCCACAGACTGGGCTAGGCGATGACTGAGTAGGAAAGAACACTTGCCATGCAGGCCTGAGAATACCTGGGGCTTGCTGGCCAGCCAGCTCAGTTGAAACACTGCTGTCTCCAGGCTCAGTGAGAGACCCTGTCTCAAGGGAATAATGCAGAGAGTCATAGAGGAGGATGTCTTACACTTGCCTCTGCATGCTATATTAACAGGCACCCATACACACACACACACACACACACACACACACACACACACACACACACACACACACACACACACCAGAGGTTGGGAGGCATTCAGAACATGACCAGAGTCAGCAAGCACCTCCACTGCAGTGAATGGTCTGCTCCTGGTAGCTAAACACTGACCAAAGCCACCCTTGACTTCCATGGACTCGCCCATTCACAGCATGACCACCTCATTCATCAGAGTTAGGAGCAGGTTCAGTGAGTTAAGGCCCAGCAGAAAAGAGAGCTACGGCTGAGAGGTATGCCCAAAGGCCAGCTGTACCTGCCTCCAGGAGACTGCCTCCTTCCTGAAGTGACATTCTTGGACTTAGGAGACACAGCTGGAGCTGGGGAGGAGTTGAGGGGGCAGACAACCCCAAACAAAGAGAAGCCTGCCTCTCCTGTTGTTACACAAAGCTGAGGTGCTAACACATAGGAGGTTCTGGGTGATGTTAACTTGCCTCCTATTTACCACTAGCTAAATCCCACTTTAATTAGCTTGCCTCTTAATTGAAATAAGTGGCGCACTGAAGAGGGCCAAGGAGCCCCCCACCTTCAGAAGAGTAAGCTACCTGTAAGGCCTGTTTGCTTTCCTATGAAATATTCAAGGATGGATCTATAGGACTTAAGTGATGGTTTCCCCTTGGGATGTGAGTATAAAAATGGAGCCCTTTCCACATGGGAAATGTAGCTCTCACCAGCCCAGTCACAGCCGCCATTAGACGCTTCCCAAGCAACATTAAGGTATGTCCTTCATAGACTTAGACAGGAGCGATAGTGTTTCTACTTAATCATCGACTTGAGACAAAAGCACACTGCACCAACTTCAGCAGGAGAAGTGTGCATTAAATTACTTCCGAAACTCCCTGAAGAGTAAGGTTTGCAGGTTTGGGATTGCATGACAATTAAGTAATAAAGAAAGAGAACCCTGTGCCATTTGATCAAATAATGCGTTAATCCCAACACACACTGTGAGTGTCCCTTATCCGCTCTTCGGGTGTGTTGACTTTTTTTGGTAATTTTGACTTCTCCTTCCCCAGGAACAGACACACAGATACAGAGAAAAGGATGTATCAGTGTAAGACAATGGAAGTGGGGATGCCTGGGAGAACCCTGATAAGGACTCAGCTCCTCAAGGCTAAGAGGAAAATCCCAGGTGGTTTTAATGAAGGGGATACTCACTTTTCAAAGTTCAGCACCTACACAATGCATTTTCTGAAGATAACCTGCATTCCATATGCACTTTCAATTCATGAGGCCACCCCAAATTCACTGAGCCCGCTACCTTGAGTAGGGCTTGTGCCTGGGACACTTGAGACTAGAGATCACTAAGCAATTAGTGGTACATCCAGGCCCTCGGGGGAGGTTTCTGAGAGTAAGTTTTCCAGGCTCTTTAGAAGTATTTATATACACCTAGCATGCCATTAATCATTCTTATCTGTTCATTAAAGCTGTCTCCCTCAGGACCTCAGCTCGCCAATTCTTTCTCAGCTCAGTTCTTTTTTAGCTATATATCCTAAGAGTGGTCCATTTCCTTTAAGACATATTTTGTCATTAAAATCCTTCATGAGTTCACATGCGTGTGCCCCACCAGCTGGTCTGAATGTGTAGAATTAAGTACACATACAAGCCAGTCCTGAGAAGGGTCTCTGGGGAAGGACAAATGTGCAGTGAAAAGCACAGTTTAGGGGTGTGCTTTCATTGAGAGAGCCCGGAACCATGGCCCACCTGTGACAGTGCCTGCTGCCTCCTCCTGTCGCCTACCAAAAACGGGGTGCAATTTGAATTGACACAGTGGTACAACTGATCTAAAAGTGGAAGAGAAACCAGACACTGGAACACTGAAAAGCGATCTGTATGAAATGTCATGTCAGTAGTTACCAGACCATACCTCTGCCTGTGACTCTCCCAGAACCACATTCGGGCTTCTGCTGGCTCCATGGTCCATCCATCCCAGCACAGCTGGCAGGGAGACCCCGAGGAGGGCGAGATGTGGCCAGAAGCCTCCCGGTTTCATTTTGTCCAGTCTGTTGAGAAAATAACAAAGGCTCAGTGGGGAAGCAGCAGGAGGTCACCGCAAGTCAGGAGGGAGGTGATGCACATACAGGTTAACCTGAGGGTCTGGGCAGATGGCTTTGTTTGTAAAGTGCTTGCCATGCGCACGTGGAGACCTGAGTTTGAGCTCCAGGACCCACACAAAAAGCTGGGAATGACAGTTTGTTTCTTTAATCCCAGTGCTGGGGAGGTAGAGAAAGGTAGATCCCAGAGATTCGCTGACCAGCCAGCACTGCCTAATTGGTGAGCCACGGATCAGTGAGAAAAACTCTTTCTTGCAAAAAATCAAGATGTCTGGTTGGTGAGGAACCACAATCAAGGTTGAATTCCAGCTTCCCTATGCACATGCAGCTACACACATGTACAGCAGTGCACACACACACAAAGAATCAGATTAATCTAAGTACAAAATACAGTACAAACCCGTCTGTTTTACTTGGGAGGAGTTGCATTATTTCTGGGCCTTGGTACACTAACTCTGAAATGGGGACCATATTAGAGACCTCATTGGGGTGCTCTGAGAATTGAGATAGCTGGTACCAGGCACAGAGTAGAACTCTGCTAATATAAGCCATTAGATAGTGTCCCACCTGAAATGCCAAGCACCACCACCACATCTCCAAGGACAACCAGGATGAGTCTGCCGAGTCACATCTACCGGGCACATCCATGCCTCAATTTCCTGAGAAGACATTTGGAGCTAGGCACAGGAAGCTTCGGAAAAGCCTGATGACCTAAGTTTGATCCCCCAAAACTGACTCCTGCAAGTTGTCTTCCATGGCATATGTACCCCCATGTATACATACACTAAATAAATAAACACAGTTAAAGAAATGTTGATGAGGAATTATATTAAGTGTGTAACAACTTCTCTATACCTTACACCTCGGTTAACAAAATGAACTTCAAAATAGCACCATAAGGTCTAGTATTTTAGCTTTTGTAGCAGAATCTAAGCAGCCAATACCAATTAAATCCCAATAACCTGGAAGTGACATTCTCACCTGAAGTCCTAGAATAAAACAAAGGGGCAATTCAAGGTAACCAAAGACATAGGAGTCGCACAGCCAAGACATTGAGGCTCAGATATAAACAGTGTTTAAGAAACCTCATGTGTGCTGGTGGTGGTGGTGCATGCCTCTAATCCCAGCATTTGGGAGGCAGAGGCGAGTGGATCTCTGTGAGTTCAAGGCTAGCTTGGTCTACAAAGCGAGTTCCAGGACAGCCAGAGCTACACAGAGAAACACTGTCTCAAAAATTAAAAAATAAAGAAAAGAAAAGAAAAAAGAAGAAACCCGATGTGCTAAACTGCTGTGCTAATGCAGTGAGGACAGACTGCTCCAGGGGTCCTAGTAACTGCATTTTTAAAAATTTATATTTAGGATGGTGTGTGTGTGTGTGTGTGTGTGTGTGTGTGTGTGTGTGTGTGTGTTGTGGGGGATATGTTGGAGGTCAGAAAACTACTTGCAGGAGTCAGTTATCTCTCTCCCCCGTGTGGATCCTGGGGATCAAACTCAGGTCACCAGGCTTGATGGCAGGTACCTTTACCTGCTGAGCCATCTCACTGGCCCACTTGCTTACTTTTTAAGTAAAGTTTCCACTGTAAATGTATGTTAGCCATAATTTTGATGGTATTTAATTGCAGACTCTCCATGCTACATCCTGACTGTTCTCAGAGAGAGAGAAACACATAGTGCCCTTTAGAGGCTAGCACCCCAGATGACCTGGCCTGGGGACTGGGCTACAGCTGGCATCTGATTCAAAAACTTGGCTTGAGATAGCTTGTAGCTTGAAGAAGAGTCCCATCCCTGTACTCAAGTCAACAGCCTTGGATAACTCCTACACTCTGGACCCCAGCCTTTTCAACTGTGGATCCCAAATTCAAAGGGGCTTATATAGTTTCTCCTGGGGGGAATGTTAAAAATTGGACAATGGTAGAATATAGTAAACAGTAAAATACAGAACCAACAATTAATTAAAAAGCAAATGCACACCGGGCGGTGGTGGCGCACGCCTTAATCCCAGCACTTGGGAGGCAGAGGCAAGCAGATCTCTGTGAGTTCAAGGCCAGCCTGGTCTACAGAGTGAGATCCAGGAAAGGCACAAAGCTACACAGAGAAACCCTGTCTCAAAAAACCAAAAAAAAAAAAAAAAAAAAAAAAAAGAAAGAAAGAAAGAAAAAAGCAAATGCACAATGAAACCAAGGAGGTTCTGGCAATGCTTATCTACGCTATATCTCACCACCTCATGGCAGCCTTGGCTCCAAACACACCGGACTTTGCCTCACACACACCGTGTGACCTAACACACTACCACCAAGTGCTGCCTGAAACACCATGGCTCAGATCCAGGACTACTGCATGCTCTGAACCACAGTGTTTCACTTAGCAAAGTTTTCTGCTCTTATGGAAACATAATGATTTGATTATAGACGACGAAGTCTTTTAATATTTTCCTACCATCGTTCCTCAGCATGTAAGTATCAAATGAGTATATATATTTGGATGGTAGTGTGTAAGAATGTTTGATTTTTAAAATTGCTATTTGAGTTGCTGGCTGGAATTCCATAAAACTTGTTAAGTGAATTTTGGCTCAGAAGCAGGACAGAATTTCCAACCGTTTCTGAAATGGTCCTGAACACCCTTCTGCCATTTTGTACTATGTATTTAAGTGACATGGTGTTCAACACTGACAATTATAAAATCAAAATATTAATCAGCTCCGAGAAACACCAAAGATGCTCTTCCTCCTGCAGTATCAAACATACGCCAAAATTGAATTCCTTATGCACAGCCATCTTATGAGTATACAAATTTACTTTCATCTTTAACAAATAATAAAAGTACATATATACTAAAGAATTGTTTTCAAATAAATTTCTTGGGGGCTGGAGACATGGTTTAGGGGTTAAGAGTACATTCTACTCTTTCAGAGGATCCAAGTTTGAGTCCCAGTATCCATATCAGCCTACTCAAAATCACCTGTAACTCAAGCTCCAAGGGAATCTGATGACTCTGGCCTGGGCTGGGGTGGGAGGTACCTCCTCTCTAGTACACATACACACACTTAGAATAAATAAATAAATCTTTAAAAGTAAAAAATCAGCCCGGTGTGGTAGTGCACACCTTTAATCCCAGCACTCGGGAGACAAAGGCAGGTGGGTCTCTGAGTCCAAGGCCAGCCTGGTCTACAAAGAGAGTTCCAGGACAGCCAGGGTCATTACACAGGGGAAACTTGTCTCGAAAAGCAAAAACAAAACAAAAAAAGTAAAAGTCTAAGATGTATCATCAGTAAATGTCTGCTTTGTAATCTAATTTACATAAGAGCTGAAAGGGGTCAGGAGAAGAAACAGTTTAAAAATCTGACCTAGACAAGGGACAAAGGCTGTCACTTGGTCACCAGTGCTACGGCCATGACCTCCAAACAAAGCCACTTGTGCAGTGTGCGGGCTCCTCTGGCTCCCTCCCCATGTGTGAGACAGAAATGCCCACTAAGAAGAAAAGGCAGACTACAGCTTGGAACCCCACACTCTGGTTTATGAAATGACAAGATCACCAGGGATCTTTTAGAGAAGGCCTCCAGAGACTCCCATTTCTCTATTTCCTTAGCCATTCATTTTTTGACATCTGTCAGCAAAGCTGAGCTACTGAGAAAGTGGTCCAGGTGGCCAGTAGCTCTCATCAGAATGTCACCACCTCTGCACCTGAAGTGCGCTTTGCACAGTGTGGCTTCAGCTGCTGCCTGTGTGAGTGAGGCCTGTGACAAAAACCAGCAGCTGCCTGACTCTATGCAGAGGATGGACACATCTCAGAGGGATGAGAAGGCAGAAGGAAAAGAACTCCCACGTGCGGAGCTACAAGAGCGTATTTCCCAAACTGCAACTGTTTTGTCTCATTTTTTTCTAAAAATAAATAAGGCAACTCCATAGTCTTCATGAAGTATTCTCTTTGAACCTGGAGCCACAGTCCAGAGACTGCAGATGGCAGCTGCTGGACTTTTGCATATTTTAAGAGCTAAGTATTGTTATTCAAGCTAGAAGGAGAAAGATTATGCTCTCTATTCTTTTTAAAATTTGTCCATATTAGTCCTCTTACAAATAATGCTTGTGAGGAAAACACCTGCATTTAAAGGTCTACTTACCTCCTTTTATCATGCCTCCTTGCCCAAACACATGAAAAATAGAGACAGTCAAAATCTGTCTTACTTAATGTACAGATGTCAACTTCTGGAATTATGAAATATGCAAGCCACAAAATCTGACGCTTTACTTTCAATTTGCTTAGTAATCTAAGACCAATTAGTAATAAAAAAAACCAATGGTGTTTTACTATTAATGGATAGTATCAAAATAAAATCCATTCATTTCAATTATTGTCTTGGCAAGCACCATGTAGCTTCATTTACAAGGCAGGTCCAGAGGGTGAGCATTAGCCGGCTGGATGCTGAGAGGTGTTTCAGGACACTTGGAACCTAAGAACCAACCTTGGTAGCTGAGCTGGTACTGATCTTTATCCAGTTTGCATTGACGTTCCCTATTAAGACCTTATTTGAAGACAGGGAGACATGTGAGCCAGATCTACTGCTGGAATAAGCCTACACAGCTTCTTTATAAAATGCATCTCAGTTTGGCCACCACTAGCTGATTTCATTTACACTGTGGATGTGTCTTGGGTGTCATTTTATACAAAGGGTGATTGACAATTCATTGCATCTAGAGCAGCAACAGCCTAAAAAATTTCAGCTAGAGTTTTATGACAACTCAGTCAATAAAAAGAAGAATTAATATTGGGTCTAAATCAATTTTGATGATCTGTCTAATAACCAAATAGAGACTCTCTATTTGGTTAACACTCACATAGCAATTACCATGTGTCAGGTACTATTCTAACTGCTTTACAGGCATTCACTCATAACCCTCTTCTTACTCCCTGCAGAAAGCAATGACTATCCTTCCTCCCCATCTGATGACAGAGACAACAGGGTCACAGGGAGGGTAAGTACCCTGTCAAAGCTACATGGCATGTAAGTCAGCAGGTGGGTGGTTCTGTTACATCCTGTCCCTCAATGTCTCTCCACCCTTGGCAATATTTAATCTTGGTAAGCAGTTCTTTTTCATATGACAGAGTCAATCTATACAAAGCAAACTGGGAGTCCCTTCTTGCCCCTGAAAGCTGCTTATCAAGGCTCTGACCATGGCCAAGGACTCAGAGCAAGGGGAAAGAGCCAAGCTGTCACCTTTCTGTACTTGACCCCAGAGTGAGTACAACTTGGCACACTCTCCAAGAGAAATCACACAGAATTCTAGGGGGCAAGGATGCTCTTCCAACTCCAGGGAGCAGAAGTCACTTGGAGGTCATCGATCTGTTACTGAACTCATTGCAGCTCCAATTTAAATAGCCTTGCTATCCTTTAACAGCAGATCTGGGAATGAACTCCTCAGAAGGTTGCAGATTCTATCCGTCTAGACCTCCTTCTGAGACTATGCTTCATTCATTGTATGTTTCCATTCAATCCTGACCAGACCCCAAGCACTGGTTCCAACTCCACCAGGATGGAGTCCCTGAGACAGTCTCCTTTTCCAAACAACTCAGGGCATCAATCACTTGGCAGATAAAACATCTTCGGTAGAAGAAAGTCACTTCATGCTTTCCTCTGATCCCCACCAGGTCCTCAACATTCTCTCACAGTCAGGAGAACTAGGTGCTAGCCTGTCTGCTGTAGCTTTAATACGTCGCCGAAGGTTTGGAACCAAGGCACTGCCCAGACCTAGACTCTAACCCAGCGTCCCACCGTCTGGACACCTGCCTGCGCTCTTATGCTACTGCAAGCTTATAGAGAGCACTCAGGTTTGCATGGTCTTCCAGGTTATGCTTGTGTTTGTCAGTGCCATAGCCTCTCTGTGCAAACCACAGGACTTCCTGGAATCGTAAAACAAGCTTGTGTCTGTGCTCTCTCCCCGTGCTCAAAATTACAGAGTTATGACAAATTATCATGATGTAATATTCCAAATGCCAAGTTGCTTTTTGAAGAAAGTTGAAAAGCCATGACTAAAATCTTAAGTTATTGGGGAAAGACTAAAACTAATATGAATTCATGTTTTAAAAAAAACCAGATCTGCCCCCACACAGAGACCACAAACCAACATGTAAGCTGTATTTACTGTGCAGGATCAGTGACCAGAGTCTTACACAGGCGGTGGACTTGAGATAAGTCTTGTCTATTCCTGTAACCAAATCTTTCAGGACGAGCAGGAATACTGGCCACTGGGGAGGGACACTGCTCACCAGCTCTCTTTCTCTCTTGACCTCTTTTCCAGAGCGCGGGAACATTACCAGGCCAGTCGCTATGGATTAGTCACACACAAATGGCTTAGAAATTATAAAGATGCCTCGGTAGAGCCTCAAAGAGAGCAAGGAGGCACCTGCATTTCCAAACATCTGCTTGATACTTGAATAGGACCATATTTTACACCATGTTCTGTTGACAGTCAACAGAGAGAAATCAATGGAGAGTCCCAGAGCCCTGTTATCCTCTTCTGTGTATCAGCCCAAATGTTAGGGAGAGGGGGCACATACCAAACCCAACCTGAAACCAGGAACTACATCATAATTTCTACTGGAAGGTTTAGGACTCTAGTTTTGATTTGTGTGCGGTTTAGGAAAAAAGAAAAAGCATTTCGGATTTCCCCAAATTGCCCCTAAAATATCAACCTGAAGATGATAAGCATGTAACTAACACCATAATTAAGCGGAATTGCATTTTGATCACATTTATTTATTTATTTATTTGATTGTGTATGTATAAGTCAGAGAAGTGGCAGGAATCTGTTCTCTCCTACATGTAGATCTGAGGGCTCAAACTCAGACTGCCAGGCCTGACAGCAAATGCCTTTACCCACTGCACCATCTCATCAGCCCTACATTGCATTTTCTGTTAACTATGCACTATGTATTTCCCAACAACCGGTGAATTGTCTACCTGAATTATTCCACGTGCAATGCATAAATTGATGACATTCATCTTGGAACTGAAGTTCTGTACACTCACCTATGACTTCTGATCACCCTTATCCTTCCAACTTTCAGGTAATACTGTGTAAATACATTCTTTTAACTGTGATTTTCCATTGTATTTGATGTTCCATGCCTTAGTGTTATGTATTAAGAGGCAAAACTCTTCAGGAGAGATAGTCTCTTGAAAAATTGAATTTCACTAAGTGTGGAAGAACAACAATAACTCCGCATAAGCAACACAAGAAGGCGGTACTTGCAGAGGAAAAAAAAAAATACCTCAGAGATAGGGTAGACATTAAGGGCAGGTTTGGGAAATCTTCACTGCTCAATACCAGTCCCTGGAAAAGACTGTTAAGTCAAACACAAGATCATCGCATGAAGTCACAGTAAATAAATAGGTCCTACAAGTCCTTAGCAGAAGGTAAAGCATGGTGAGTGACCTAGTCCCAGGTCAACAAGCTGCTCCCTCTCTGGGAAGAAGAAATAAAAGTCATTCTGGAATTAACAAAAATCGGTGAGCTCAAAGTTCTAAGAGGAAAAATAAAAGTCGCTGGGACAGCATCATCAGGAATGTTACTACGCCGTGTCCTGCGGACTCTTTCCTTGGATGACCTTTGGCTCAAGCTGAAGTCTTTCTTGGAAGCGGGAGGCGTTGGGTCCCAGGACAGGACGGGAGGAAAAAAGTCAGCATTCAGCTGATAGTGGCGCAAGCGGCCTGACAGTGGCAGCCCCTTCTCCTCCAACTGAAACAGGAAGTGACTGAGTTCTGTCAGGCACAGGGGTTCGAGGGTTGAATGGAGAGGTGCTGGGGCTCAGACACCACACAAGCCCTACTTATTCCCCTGCCCATTTGCTTTCCACACCCATGCCCACACCAGAGCCTGTCCTCAGAGTCAGAGGGACTAGAAGGAAACTGGCCACTACCAAGGATGACAATAGAGCGTTAAAGTTTACCCTTGTTTCACCAAAGGCTGGTGAGTAGGAAAATAACTTGGGGGCTTTCTGGGCAAGTCCTGATGGCTTCTTCATGCCCCTTCCCCCCCTTAAAAAACGGCGAGGGGTGTTGCTGCGCACGTTTTTGCCTGGCGGTTACCCCATTTCTGTGTTGGGTGCATAAAAGGGGGGTGAATTTGGGCACCTCACCGATGGGGATATGTAGTACAATTCTTGGCGCACAGGCTTGCAACAGATTTACTAAGACAACAGAGGAAAGCTACTGGCGCTGTTTTTCACCCATGGAAACCTCGGTGGAAGCGACACCTAGAGGGAGCGGAGGGGAGACTCCAGAGCGCTATTCATCAGTGTCAAGGGCCGGTTATCTGGAGGGAGGGAAGTCCTCTGGGCAGTGCAAGGTGGACCAGCTCTGGGAGCAAACGCAGACCTAGCGGGGGGCCCAGCTCCCAGGGAATTCTGAGTAGACCAAAGCACGGCACAGATGCTCGCCAAATCCAGGGCATCACGAGCTCTACCGACTGCTGTCTGTCAGTCAGTTTCTGCCTTCGCAAGAGTTTCAGGACACGAAGTCCTCAGGTGGCAGGCATGGGGGAAGCCAAGTGGGACATGGCTTTGTCAGCTGCAGGGAATGCTCAAAGCTTCGTGCTGCAGTGGTACCCAAACTCTAAGCGATGTGCGCCCCAAGAACAACACTCTGCCTGCGTTCCGCAGGCCCCCTCTGAAACTTGGGAATGGTCTCTCTTCCTTCACTGGGGCTAAGGGGGAATCACTCGCCACAATCAGTCTTAGCACCAAGCCCCCAACCTGAATGTCCTCAGGACAAACTGCTCCCTGGAGACTTCCCAGTGGGTTACAGCAGCCCTTACTGGCAACAACTGTGGCCTCGCAGAATTAAAGCCACAGGGTCTCCAGAGCAGGGATCTGCCCGGATGCCCTCTGTGAGCTCCCTACACCGGGGACTATGGTGTAAAATGAGGGCCAGGAGAGGCGCAGCTTATCTTTTGGCTGCGACAAGGGGACGCAAGTTTCCCCGCAAAGCGGAGGGGAAGGAGGTGTAGAGGATGACCGCCCCGCACTCTAGATCCGAGCCAAGGGCACGGGTCCGAGCCAGGGTCTGTCGCTCGCCAAGGTTCGGCCGAGGCCATTCGGGGTTCAGAACCCAAGAGCAGCGCCTGCAGGGTCTCGGTGCGGATCGCGAGCTTCGGGCTCAGCGGGAGCGGCTCTGCGTGGCGCCCCGCGCGCCCCTCTAAGGATCGCTCCGTTCCCCGCCGCTGATCCCCGGGTGTCAAGCCCCAGATGCCCCCGCTTTAGCCTCCAGTCCTAGCGCATCCAGGGTGGCCCTGCCGAGCCCCGGCCCTGCGGTCCCGTGCCCGCGGCCAGGCGCGCAAACTTGGCTCTCCAGGCGTGGGCAGTGAGGACCAGCGAACGCCCGCACCGGGCCCTGCAGCGAGCTGCGGAGCTGCGGGCGTCGGGAGCTCGGCGGGCGGCAGCGGGACGGGCTGGCGGCAGTGGCACGACTCGGACACCCGCATCTGCTCCAGAGCGCGGCGCCCCGCTTACCTGCGGCGGCCGGGGCCGAGAGGAAGAAGACCAGGTGGCCGGACTCGGGTGGAAGGGAGGGAGCGCCCCGTGGCGGCGACAGCGGCAGCGAGCCGGCCCCCGCGTCCTCCGTTGGGTCGTCTCCGGCTGTCGGCTGGTACCCCCGGCGTGCTAGAGACAGTCCAAGCTCCAGCTCACTGAGCCTCCGTCGCCCGCCGCTGTGCCACCGCTGCCGCGGCTGCCCTATTTCTGCCGCCGGGACCGGAGCCCGTGACGTCACCCTCCGGGCCCCGCCTGCCCAATCGCCGCCACCTGTGCTCGCCGCCCGCCCGCCCGCCAGCCCGCCCGCCCGCCCGCCTGCCGGTCAGACCCCGCCGCAGGTGTGGAGCAGCCCGGCGCGCACGCGGGGCGCCAGGATTTCCCTGCGCCCTGCACCACCTGGGCAGGGTGGCACTCTTTCCCCTGGTTCCCGGGAAGCTCAGCAGGTGACAACCCCCTGCCTCCGTCTTCTACTCACCCCTTCTCTCCTCCAAGCGCCTTTCCCGGCCAGCCTCCCCCAAGGTTGTGCTTTGCTCAAAGCGCCGAATTGTTCTCAATCAGCGGCCATTTCTCGTGAAGCCCTAGCGGGTCGGTACACTGCACCAAAAGAGATGTCCCTGGAGCAAAATTCCGGGGACACTCCTCCCTGCGTTGAGGAACAACTACCTGTGAAAGAGCAAAGTTTTCGTTACTCCCAATTAGAGGCTCTTAAAGAAGTCCCAGGTGACATTTGCCAAGCCTGACCCACCTGAGCCGGGAGCGTGTCTTGTTCCTAAAACAAGAACATTTTCCCCCTCTCCGGATCCCGAGACTGTGCGGCTTCCTGGCTTTTCCAACTCTCTCTTCAACCTCCACAGCTTTTGATATGTGCTCAGATAAGTTGCAAAAAACTCCTTTGTCACGCTCGATCTAACCTCACACCAGAGAAAGCAGCACCTGGCAGCGAGGCAGGGGTGGCCGGAGCCTCTCCAGGTGCCGCCTCCTGCTGGGTTGAATGGATGCCCAGTGGCTTTTTGGTTTAGGAGTACAGTGTCCTGCCCATGCCTTTGGGATCTCCCCTGATTTGCAGGAGGGTGCAACGGGGCTTTTCTGGAGATAAGGTTAGTTAAATATAAAAGGAAGTGAGGAAATACTAAAGGGTTGGTCGAGTCTTTCCTTCCACTGAGTACAAGCCACTGGGCTGGTTGCTGGAGATACTACAGTGAGTGGACCTTTCTTGCTCGGGTTTTTGGTCTGGTATCTAGCCCTCTTTTTACCACTGTCCAGTGAGTGGTGCAACTCAGACCGCATTGTAACTGCTTTTCAACTGCAAAACGAGGACACTTCTAGGTCTTAGTCAGCTGTGACTTGCCCTGTGAACACCAAGATTTGCACTCAGATATAAAAAAGGCAGCTGTGTTCTCTGTGCCCTGAGGCTGTGGCTAGCATGAGGCTCTTTGCTTATTGACCATGATTTTCTGCCAAGGCCATCCATGAATGAATCCCTGAGGCTGGCCGGAGGCTGGATTCTCCGACTAAATAGAATCTAGGAGATGTAGCAATTTACATCTTGAGAAATAGGAAGGAGTGGATCTAACAGGTAGCAGGGAAGCAGGGCAGTGATGTTGTGCCCGGATCTGAACTTGTACCCTAAGTCTACCGACCAGGTTAAACCACACAGCTCTCCAAGTTAAGGTGGGGGAGAAATGCAGATTCCTCTTTTCTAAGCACCAAGCCATAGAGGCAGGCAGCTCAGCGGCCATATAACAGTATTCCAGGCAGGACTTTGGCACTTCGTTTTTGTTTTTTAATAACTAGAGGTCATGCATAAGTCAAGGCCTGCAGACTGACCAAGACCAGAAATAACGATGTTTAATGTTCTGAACAACCGCGGGCTTCTTCATGTTTCCCCAGGAAGGGGAGTGAAACTGTTGTAAACCAGATGTGCTGATTACTCCCTGAGAGCTGGTGCTGACCTCCACAGTGAGCCTTCGTGACCACTGGGCAGAAAACCAGAGTGGGATGACGAGTCACCTTGGAGTAAAAGAAGGTGAGGTGTGAAGATGGAGGTCAAACAGGCCTCCAGGAGGCAGCATCAGATGCCACACTTGGACATCTCTTCCCATTGCTTTGTGCTTTCATCTGCCAAAGTGATTCTTTGTTTACTTGCACACCCCAAGTTGGGAACTAGGCTAGATTTCCCACAGAGAGTCTAGAATTGACCTGCATCCTTGTTTCAGAACTTGAGAGCACGCCACTTCTCATCAGCTAACTAGGATGCTTGGAAAAGTTTTGTTTTTTGTTTTGTTTTCAGGTAAATTTTGAATTTCATATAATGTAGTAAGTTTGAATGGAAGGGCTCTGGACACAAATTTTACTACTGCCCTAGCCCACAGCCTTAGCTGTTGATGAGTGTTTCAGCTATACAGATTCAGAAACACAAAAGGAGTGATTAATATACCTTTCCACAAGAAGTTTAAACAGTTCCTGTCTTGCTATGTTTTGAGACAGGTTCTCACTATGTAGCCCAGGCTAAAAGTGACCACAGTGACCTTTTTTTTTTTTTTTAAACTTTACTAGGTTTTTTAAAGATTTATTTTTAATTATGTTTATGTGGGGGTTGGGGGGGGTGTACATGTTTGTGTAGGTACCCAAGGAGGCCATAAGAGGGCATTAGGTTCCCTGGGAGCTAGAGTTACAAGTGGTTGTGAGCCACCAGGCATGGCTGCTAGGAATTCAACTCTGCAAGGGAGGTCCTGATTCTTAACCACTGAGCCATCTCTGCAGCTGGTTCTTTACCATTTTTAAGACTCTTTCCTACTCCTCTCTACCAAACCCACAAGCCTATAATGAGAAGTTGAGCAGTATATACTGCCTTTCTTTTTATTCAGATTCCACAGGAGACCAGGGCACGCCCCATTTCCTCCAGACCAATCCCATACTATCCCCATCAATGACTATGGGTGAGGTAGCCAGACTGTCCCCATCAATGACTATGGGTGAGGTAGCCAGACTGTCCCCATCAGTGACTATGGGTGAGGTAGCCAGACTGTCCCCTTCAGTGGCTATGGGTGAGGTAGCCAGACTGTCCCCTTCAGTGGCTATGGGTGAGGTAGCCAGACTGTCCCCATCAGTGGCTATGGGTGAGGTAGCCAGACAGGGAAACCATGTGACAAGTCAGGAAAACAGAAGCAACCTCCTTTCTTATCTTCCATAATTAACATTCTGTTCCCTCCTACCTCCAATGTCCTTTTCCTTCTGTGACCCACTTGAACTTGATGGACCAAATATGCCTCGTCCTTTAATAATCCTGCTTTTTCCTCTCTCGTGTCAAAGCTAGGGGTGGGTGGGGTGGAAGACAGACATAGGAAATGAACTTCTTTTTTGAATTTTTATTTATTTTTATGTGTATGGGTGTTTTGTCTTCCTGTATGTCTGTGCACCATGTGTGTGCAGTGCCCCTGGAGGCCTGAAGAGGGCATTTGTCCCCTGGAACTGGAGTTACAGGTGATTGTGACCCACCATGTGGGTGCTGAGAATTAAACCCAGGTCCTCTGGAAGAGCGGTCAGTGCTCTCAACTGCTAAACGATTTCTCTAGCCCTGGAAATGAAGTTCCAAGACTACTTTCCATTCACAATGTTCATTTCTTTACCACACTTGTTGTTAGGTCTCAAACTCAGGACAAATGGCTGAGGTGCCTATTTAATATTTCAAAGTGTATGCTGGTTGGCAGGTTCTCAGCAAGTATGTATTACAGAGTCATCCTGGCTGGCATACCCCACCTCTATCCTGTACTGCGCCAACCTCTGAACTTCCCTTCCCTTCCCCCAGCTTTCCTTTCCTATATAGCCCAGCCATTGGGCTATGTGGCCTCTTGGCTCCTGGTTCCTCTCTCTTTCTCTCCCTACCCCCCATGGCCCAGTTCGGTCTGCTGGCCCAGTTCAGTCTGCTGGCCCAGTTCAGTCTGGACCATTCCAGATGCCTTTGGCTGTGCTCTCACTCATATCTACAATAAACCTTCTCCACCATACCTGGGAGCAATCACGTCCTCATTTTCATTCACAAGTCTTTATAGAAGTTGGTATCACTTTGATTTGAAAAGATCCCTGATATCAAAACCTCCCAAGTCCAACGTTAACACTGACTTCTTAAACAATGATTCATGGAATCACATAGAGATTTGGAGGATGTGAGCAATAAATTCTAAATCTAAATGAAAAATTACACTCAAAATAATTGTGTGGGTGTGTGTGGGTGTCAGTTCGCTGTTGGGTGTCTTCCTTGTCTTTTTCCCTCTTGGTTTTTGAGACACGGTCTCTCATAGGGCCTGGAAATTGTCATTTCCATTTACTGGATAAACAGCAAATCCCCTGGATCCACCTATCTCTGGCTCCCAGCCTTGGGGTGATAGGGTCATGTTTCCATGCTTTGCTTTTCTATGGGTGCTGGGGGTTAAAACCCAGATCCCCAGGCTTGTGCAGGAGGCATTTGGCCTACTGAGCCATCTCTCCCACCTCAGATCATTGCTTTAAGCTTTGGTTTAGGGAGAAGAGCGGCATAAAGATAAGTATGGGATTCAGTCAGGAGATAACTGTGACTGAGGGAATTTCAAGGCTAATGAAGAGGCAGTCGGGTAGAGGAGGAATTTCAATTCAGAAGGCAGGATGAATGAGACGATGCAGTGACGGAAAGGGCACTGTGGGTACTAAAAGATGGAGGGAGATGAACAATGAAGCCCTCCTCCACGACAAAAGCCCCATCGACTCCCAGAGGCCAGATTGATGGCACAAGGAACCCAAGAAAGGCTCCAGCAGTTGGAGGAACTTGAGCTTATTATTCTAAAAATTCGGGGCACATCAGATTTTAAAATCAGAATGAGAAGATCAGGCTTCCGCACCACTAAGTACCACAGCCTGCTGAGGTCAGGAGAGAGAGAGGACAGAAGAGCCTGGATGGAGAGTAAAGGATGGAGGGGCCAACTGCATTTTCAAAAGTGGAAAAACTAGCCAGGCGGTGGTGGCGCATGCCTTTAATCCCAGCACTCGGGAGGCAGAGCCAGGCGGATCTCTGTGAGTTCAAGACCAGCCTGGGCTACCAAGTGAGTCCCAGGAAAGGCGCAAAACTACACAGAGAAACCCTGTCTCGAAAAACAAAAACAAACAAACAAAAAAAAAAAGTGGAAAAACTCCATCATTTTTCACTAATATTGTCTCCTCAATAAAGTGTTAGCACCTATGGGTTGCCCTTTGTGCCTGGAGGGAAGTAGGAGAAGGTCCTCTCTT